TTCCACAGCGGATTTCTCGTCATAACGGATTTTTTTGGTTGGAACCATGAATCCGCTGTGGCGAGGTTTGACTGTATGCTACTGAAAAAGTTCCTGGAGTTTACCAATTTTTTACATCAGAGTTTTACACCGGATGGATTTTTTTCATACTCGTGTATTTTTGGAGTAATAATAATAGTAAGTATAATAATGAAAAAAATATATAAATCTTAATCATTATCATATTTTCCCTTGAATATAATTTTTTTTTTGAAAAAATTAGATTGGATATTAGATTACGATGTATCAAACTTTTATTATTAATAATAAAATAATAAGAAGATACCATTTTAAATTCATTCATTCATTGATTCTATTAAGTAACAATAACATATCAAACGGCACCTAAACGTTATATCATCAGCAAATTTGTTTGCACCAAAACACCTTTAGTGATGTATACTCGATTGCAAAGAATCATGCGAATATTCTCTCCTTCTTTTATCTTTTGAAGAATAAGAAGTGTCAGTGTCAGTGTTAGTTCTAAATGAATTAAATACAATAGTATTAAATGATCTTGATAAGAACATTGTTGCAAACAGTGTTTTTCTCTTGTTATATCACCAATAAAGCGTACTGTTTGAATTCTTTGACAACTGGTTTTTGTTTTATTTCTTAAAAATTCAGCTCGTCTTAATTTTATTTTTATTTTAATGTGTAAATAAACAAGGATATCTTTACCAATTAACAACAGTAATAGTTTTATTGCAATTATTATGTGATTGTTTTTATTACAATATTGTTATTAAGAGAAATTATTATTCAGAAGAAAAGTTTATTTATTAAGACGTTTAAATCTTTTTAATGTAAAGATGGTAAATAGATAGTGAAGTATTGTGATGGATAATAAAGATATACTTCAAAAAAGTGCTAATGATATAATAAATAAATAAATAAATAATAATAAATGAAATGCATATACAATACAAAGAAATAAATTTAAAGACAAATAAAAAAAGAAAACATAATAATAATAATTTCGATATTTCCAGTAAAGATTCTTATTGACCAATTGCTATTTTAATTTTAGATGAAGAACCTAGGAACAAGTAAGAATTAGTCGTTCATGTTTTTACTGTTAACGTATTTAGTTTATAAAATTATTATTCAAAAAGATATATTATTTATTAATAACCAGAGATGGTCTTTTGCATTGATACCTTATATTGATTAAAATCAAAAGTAAACTTATTATTATCATTTTAGGGATGTCAATCAATCGGCAACTCGAAACAATCGATTTTTTTTAAAAAAAAATAGGGCGCAAACATATGAACACTTAAGGGTTACGACACTAATACGGCATACGACCATACTAATATGGCAAATCTTTCCAAGAGTTACGACATAACCTATGAGTTATATAGTTCGGTAGTATGTTTACATCCTTAATCAACAGACTGTGAACTAAATCTGCTTCGTAACAAAATGACTTGTGGTCCCGCACCAGAAACAAAGTCTTTATTATTATTATGTTTATAACGAATTGTTGTCATTACTGCATTAGTTGTTCTTGGGAATTAACATTAACATCTCTATATCATGTCTCTAGGTAATTATGTTAGCTTCCATAATAATAACTAATAAGGCTTTTTAATGGTAAAAATATTTGCTTTGCATAAATAATTATTATTAATATCAAATAATAATTATAAACAAAGCAACATGACTATTGAAGATGGGGAAACAATTTGGTTTGATATCGGAAATTCCCAAATATTGAGAATTACTTCACGACTCAAATATTTAAAAAATTACTTATCCGTTTCTAACAAGGGTCGACATGATCCAAGTCCTCTGGTGTCACTATTACTATTGTGATGATGAAATTTAATTTCAGAGGGAGCAGCGTGGCTCTGAAATTTATTTGAAACTGCGTTGTGATTTTTCAAGGAGCCCCTCACTTTTCATCTGCGGAGAAATTCGATAAGGATCTTGCACGTTCGTATAAGGAAAGCCTTATTAAATCTGACGCTTAAGCCCAATGTTCATTTTATTTCTGGAAGTGATTGTCAAGAATTGCAATCATACACGATTGAAAAAAGGGAGACTTGGCCACCACCACTAGAACGGATGTTTAGACATATATGGAAAGGAGGCTTGGATTAAAATATCAAGGGTTTATTTTCCAACTCCGCCAAATACATTTCATCATTGCGTGGCAATGCAATATGTTTTGTTTATTAGTTTTCTGGAAAAGGAAATGTATTTCGAATAAACTGCCTACATTACTTAATATATCAACAAATTGGTCAACAAATTAAATGTTTGGTGATAAAATGTTTGTAACCTCTCGATTCAGTAATTTGATACAAACTAATTAAGGCACAAGGTGAATTTTGACCCCTTCAAAAGTTATTGGAAAAGTTCCGAGAAACAGCAGCGATGGATTATAGCATTGGTATTAGGACAAAGAATACAAGTAAGTAACGAAGGAATTCGAAAGTCTATAAAGAAGAATTCAAAACCTTGCTAATAGTATATAAATTTTGCACTTTACCTTCTATTGGGGGAGGGGAATATCTCAGAGCTGTAAATACATCTTTTGTCTTTTAGAAAAGAAAAATTTATCTATAGGAAGGAAGGCGGGAAGTAGATCAAGAGAGCATATAAGAAAAGCTAATAAGTCAAAAGATCCTGCCTGACAAGTGAATGTGAAAGAAAAAGGGACTAAATTTACTAAATTTTAATCCCTGAAATTTCTTTGTGGCATAATAATTAAACATTGTACCATATAAATAAATACAAAAGCAAGAAATTTCTTGATTTAAGTATACATTATTAAATTACCAAAGTTCGTAAACTTTTATCATTTACGAGTTAGTTAAAATACATACTAATACAATTTTATTTTTTTCATTTAAAGAAAGAAAAATTGTGTATATTGGTGTAACTTCTAATGGTCTCATTTATTTATATCTTAAAAATGTCAAAGCCAATAAAAGATGGCTTAGTTTTTTGTGTAAATGTGTCATGATCTGTCATCCATCATCAAAACATTAAAATTAGATTATATTTAAATCAATTATAATTTTTTTCCCCCAAAAAAAAAAAAAATTTTCTTCAAAATTCTTATTAAAAAAAGAAAAACAACTATATAAATAAATAAATAAAAATGAAAAAAAGACTTGACATTCGTGACGGTATTTGTCTTTATATTAAAAACCATCAATTTTTACATTATACTATAATAATATCATTCTAAATAATGGATCCATTAGCACTAAATGAGCTCGATGATAAACGCATCAAAAACATAAGGCCATTAATTCAACCTCAAATTTTAATGGAAGACTTTCCACTTACCTTCCAAGCAGCACAAAGTGTCATACTCGGTCGTTCTGCTGCTGAAGGCATCATAAAAGGTCAAGACGACCGACTTCTTGTAATAGTTGGTCCTTGTTCAGTTCATGATGTTCATGCTGCTCTCGAATATGGTAAAAAATATAAATGAATTAGATGGAAATAAATTTTTCCATGTAATATATAAATATTTATTTATTTATTGATCATCATAATCACAATTTTAGCTGAAAGATTAAAAGATTATTCAGCTAGTGCAAGTAGTGAACTAGCTATTATTATGCGAGTTTATTTCGAAAAACCAAGAACCACAGTAGGATGGAAAGGACTGATAAATGATCCTGACTTAAATAACAGGTACCTACTATATTTTGTATATGATATATGTATGGGCGAGAATGAGAGATTAATAGAGATTATTCTTTTCCTTTCCTAGTTTTCAAATAAATAAAGGTTTACGAGTTGCACGAAATTTATTATTAGATATAGTAAGTAAAATACGAATAACTATTATTTGCTTTATTTTCATTTTGTTTATTTGTTTTTTAAAAAAAACCCCCAATTTAATATTTAAATAGAATCAAATGGGAGTTCCATGCGGATGTGAATTCCTTGATACAATCACACCACAATACATTGCAGATCTAGTTTCCTGGGGTGCTATTGGTGCAAGAACTACCGAATCACAAGTGCATCGCGAATTAGCTTCAGGTTTATCTGCACCTGTTGGTTTCAAAAATGGTAAATACAAGTGCGAAGGAAAGAGTGTATGTGCGCATATATGTATTAGCAATTGATATTGATTCTTTTGAAAATATGTAGGCACTGATGGAAATATAGGTGTAGCTGTTGACGCTATCAAAGCTGCTAGTGCTAAACACAATTTCTTATCGGTTACAAAACAGGGAATAAGCGCAATAGTGGAAACAGAGGTAAGTTCTACAATAAAAATAAAAATAAAAATAAAAATAAAAAGATTATCAAATTATAAACTATCCACTAAAATACCAAATAAATCTAAATAAATGAATTAGGGAAACGATTCTTGTCATGTAATTTTAAGAGGTGGTATAGGTGGACCTAATTATTCAGCCGAGAATATAAAAAATGTTGTATCTAAATTAGAAGCTGCAAAACTCGTTTCACGTATAATGATTGACTGTAGTCACGGTAATAGCCAAAAGGTGTTCAGCAAACAAGTAGATGTAGCTAAAGATATTGTGAGTATTGGATGAATATTTTTTCTTGTCATTACGAATTAATTAGTGAATGAATTTTTTGATTAATTTTTGTAGGTTGAACAACTTAAAACTTCACCTACAGGATTCAATATAATGGGCGTAATGATTGAAAGTAACTTGGTAGAAGGTAGCTGTTAAAATATTTTTATTTTATTTTATGATTATAATCATAAAAATCTAATAATATAATGACCTACAATAATGATGATAATAATAATAATATAGGAAATCAAGGCATTCCACCAGATGGGGGTGCAAATCTTATTTATGGTCAATCAGTAACAGATGCATGTATTGGTTGGGAAACTACAGTTCAAGTATTGGATCTATTGCGTGAAGGTGTCCGTGCTAGAAGACAACGTAATGGTAAAGCTGTAAATGGAACTGGTAAAGTTGTAAATGGAATCAGTAAAGCTGTAAATGGAATTAGTAAAGGTGTAAATGGAACTGGTAAAATTATAAATGGAATAGTTTAAAACTGAATAATTAGATTAAATTTTCTTTTTCAATAATTATAATTAATCATCCATCCATCAATATCAATTTAATTTGTAAATTTTTTTTTTTTTTTTTAATAATACAATAAAAAAATCAAAACTAAAATTTCAAAATTTATTTTCCATAAATCAATCGATTTATTATTCTATGCGCGATAATCATAAAGCATTTTTTTGCATTTGCGTGATAAATAAATTCCCTTTTATAAAAGTCAATTAAAAAAAAATATATTTTTGTATTTAAAAATATGTATTAAAAATAGCAATTAATAGCATAGTTTAAAAGTTGATCCTCGACATTTCGAGTATTTTATTTATTTCTTCGTTTAAACTGCACATATAACATAGCGTTTCTTTTATGACCGAAGATAGAGTTAATAAAAGAATTGATAAGGAACCTGCATTAATGGTTTATGATTCTTTTTCTGGACAACTGTTAAACAAAAATTTGAGGCAAACTATTTTAATTTAGCTGTTATTCCAGGTGGGTATGCCAGCCACTTGATGTTTCGATCAATAAACCATTCAAAGAACATTTTAAAAAAGAATGGGATGAATGCAATGGCGTTACTGCAGGTGGTTATTTACGTCGTGCAAGTATCGGTGATGAGACAGTATTTCTTATGAACTTATATTAAATTCATTTAAAAAATGTAAGATAACAAATCCTATTGATGAATTAGAAGGTAATAATGTTTATGAATTACTTGATGAAGTATTTGTCGAAGATAAAGAAAATACTGAAAATAATATGTCTTATGATATTTATGAACAATTTTTTATTCGTTATAATATATTAATTCGTGATCCGTGAAACATCTGCAAAATTTTCATAACAGAATTTGGCGCAAAATTTTGCAGATCACTAATTAAAATTTTCTGGACTCCAACTTTCACCCCCAACGTAACCACCCTTTATGTTTATATAAACTAAAATTGTACTTTTAACACATGATATGAATCTCGAAGTTTAAATATACAAATTTTCAAAGGGACTTTCTTATAAAATATTTTATGTTTATATGTAGGAATCGCTGGATTCCTGCCTAAAATTACTATATAAAATTTAAAGGTTTGAGTAAGCAACTAAAAATATTTATGATGTAAAAATGGGTGTAGAATTAATTTTATCCAAGAAAAATATAAATATGTTATTTCTATTTAGTTTTTAATAGTTACTCTTTTTAAAATAAAATAAAAATTATCGTGGTCGTGTAATTTTCTTGACTCACGTTGGTCACGTGAGGTAATGTCAGATTCTCAAAACTTCTGAAAATTATAATGTTTATTATCGCCACAAAAACATATTAATGATCGGCAAATTTTTGCAGTTGTTTCACGGATTACGAATTAAATTTTTGATTGAATTGTTCCCCAATCAATTTACTCTTACAATAACATTTTCAAAAATTACACAGCCCCAAAAACAATAGTAAAATAACTAATTGTGAAAATAACATACGTGAATTTGATTGGTTAATTTTTTAAACACTTTCTTTACGTAACCTAATTGGTAATAAATAGCTAAGAAAGATAACCAACAATTAATAGATTACATAAAATGGTAAGATAAATTGGTTAAGAAAGGTAACCAACAATTAATGGATATGTAAGATCGATCGTAAGGTTAAGAAAGATAACTAACTATTAATAGATTGATCATGAAACATCACAATAACGTGGATCGTGTAAGATTGTAAGATAAAAAAGATAACCATACATGTAACATGTAAGATCGTAAGATAAAACCGTTCAAGGAATTGAATCAAGCACGAGAAGGTCACTGTGTAGTCGCGTAACCAACAATTAATGGATATGTAAGATCGATCGTAAGGTTAAGAAAGATAACTAACTATTAATAGATTGATCATGAAACATCACAATAACGTGGATCGTGTAAGATTGTAAGATAAAAAAGATAACCATACATGTAACATGTAAGATCGTAAGATAAAACCGTTCAAGGAATTGAATCAAGCACGAGAAGGTCACTGTGTAGTCGCGTACATTGATAATCTGTCAAACAAACAAACCATTACTGTCAGAAATCAAAGGTTTTCTTTTTTATTATAAATAAACCAATATTTGTTAAAAAAATTTTGAGGGAGCACGGCTTAATTTTTTTTTTTTATGCGATTAAATTCATAAAACATTGAAATCCTTTTTTTTTTCAAGAAATAATTGCAATATTACATAATAAATATTGCTGAATGTATCTTTGATTACACCGATTTTATTGCGAGTTTTTACGAATCACGAAATCTCTTTTTGTGCGTAACGCAGCAATGGGAGGTCTTTAGACCGAGCCAACCATACTGAAATTTTCTAACAAACAATTATTACATAAAAATCCTGATCGGTGACACATAGTGAAACGGGGAATTACAAGGTGTAACACTACACTTATTATTATAGAAATTCAATCAATCTTAAAATAGTCCGAATTATAGTATAAAAGGGCTGGGTTCGTGAGACAGAGCTTCGATATTCTCTATAAAAAACTTTGCATATTAAATTCATTGTTTCATAAAAATGAAGTTCGTTGAACTTATTTCAGACCCCATTACGTTGAGAGCTCAAGATCAACAAATATTTAAACATGCTGACTTACCCGTGACGAAAAATGAACTATCAGTGACATTACGACTTAAACTTCATTGTTATAATTTTCCATATGCAACTATCTTTCATAAAGGTATGCTTTTTGGAAGAAAGGCTTTGGTCAGCAAATTATTGGTTAAAATTGATTTTTTTAGAATCTTTTGTCTAACTGGTGCTTTTTCGGCTTCCAATAAAATATAGGTACTGGAGATTTAATTTGCACACCTGGTTTTTGGCTAAAAGAAGATAAACTGCTTGCTCGCTTCACAAGCGACTGTGATGATAGTGCAGGAACTGGCGCACTCGCTCCCGGACTTTTGTTAAACAAATGGTACCATCTAACTTATACACTTTCTGATTCTAAAAAAAGATTAGACCTTTACATAGACGGTCAGTGGACCTGGCACTATAGCTTACAGGACGTTAAAACGCAAAATGTTAAGTTCAATGATGGACCGCTATATATTGGACGTGCTTTTTCTTATAGTGGGATTAATGGAGAAATCAGGTATGATTTATCATAGCAATGAAGTTAATCTAAATCACAAAAATATTAAATGATCATTTTATCAAATAGCAATTTTCGTTATTTCAACTGGCGCTTATCTGCTGAAGAAGTGAAGGAAGATTTTCTCGTAAGATAACTTAGAATTTCGTATCGTGAACTTTTGCAGCTTGCTCGTTATGACTATTTTGTTTTTTTTTTAAATAATAAATTTCAGAAAAGGCCAATTGTAAACGGATCAAAAATTGCTCTTGTTCATGTGTCTACTAGAAAATATTTGACTACTAGAAGGATCAAATACTCGTGTCAGCAATATATGGTATTTATTATTATTATTTGTTTATACTAGAGAAACTTAAAATTCTAAACTTTATTTATAAAATTTATAAAGGTTATTTGTAATGGTCAGAAAGTAGATTTGGAAAATGATGTTTGGACTATTATTGGAGCCAGTGAAACAGGCAAAAGTACAGGAAATCTTGGAAATCTTGTATACTTTAATACCATTATTGGATTTAAGCATCAAGCGACAGGATGCAATTTACATTCTCATCATAATTCGGAAGCAACTCCAAAATCGAAGCATCAGCAAGGTATTTTTGAGTTAATATATATGTATATTTTGTATAATAAAGTTTACAAGCAAGCATAACAATTAAAATTTTCGATATTTAGTGACCCTCTTTGAGAATGCAAATCGCGACGATGATTGGCTTATTCGACGTTATAGTCAAAACGCTTCTTATGATGACTCAGGTAGTTTGAATCATGGTGATATCATCAGTCTTTTCCATATCACAACTGGTAAGCCAGCACTTTACAGTCATAACATCTTGTTAGATGATGCAACCCAAGAAGTTTCTTGTCATGGAAATGGTGATGAGGAAAATCATAAGGTACATATAATTTTTCAACTTTTATTTACTTATGCATTAAACGAATATTTTTTTTCCACTATAATGTTTTTTAGTGGCGTGTCGAATTAATTGTCTGATACGAAATTGTAATTTGTAAAGAATAACATTTCAACTTGACTCCTAATTTTTTTTTTCCACATATCATGTTTATTTATATAAACTCTATTTAAATTATCAAAAATGTTATATATAACCTCAATAAACTTTTCTTAGCACGTGAACACTGGTAAAAAATTAATTCATAAAGTATAAATTTGCTGTACGTACACAAATTTATATCACACCAAATTTTATCCAATGTTCATTATATTAAAGAAGAAAGCTATCGAATTCAGTGGCATAGACACTTAGTTGATATGTATCCGTCTGCATCACTTAAAATGACAAAAGAAAAAACATACATTTGTACAAAAAAAAAAATACAATACTCGTAGCAGGATAAAAGATAAGATAAAGAAAGTATCAAATAGTAATAATGACGGCGAATTAAGAGATACAGTATAATAATAACAATAGTAAATAATAGTAATAATAATAATATCGGAGAGCTTAGTACCAACTGGGATTTATTTACAAAGAAAAAGAAATAGACTTGGTAAAAATAATAAAAACAACTGATTTTTAGTGAATTCATAAAAAGTATGTTATATTATTTGATAAATTTTATTTAAAGTTCTTGGTCGGCTTAGGGTTGTTTGGCTTAGTCGGCTAAGGTTTTTCTATCGGCTAATTTAAACGAGGGTTTGACTGTAAATATCTATATGAAAGTTTAATCAGTCATATGCCGATCGCATTAAAAAAATAATAGTATTTTCTTTATATATACTTTGGTTGACTTTTTAAAATTTTCAGATCAAAGTCAGATCAAGTGCTTGAAGGTTGGCAGTAGTTACCTTATAAACAATCCTTGTATCAAATAAAGTAGAAATACAAACAACACATTGGTTAATTATTTTATCAGTGAATGCGTGAACAATTTGGAAATAACTCCCAGTCTTAGATTAGCAATTCGGGAAATCAATGGTATATGAATTGTGATTACATGGCATTAATTTGTAATGAGTTAGGCGCTTTATAAAAAACTTGTAAAGTAGTAGATGGATAAGAAAAAGTATGGAGTATAAGAATGGTTGACGAAATTGCTGAAATTTAGTCAATTGATGAAATTGTACATGACTAAATTCATATTTGTTGCCAAGGATCTTTTGACGAAATCGATTTAGCCAATCAAATCAGATACTTGTGATACTTGTTTATCACCAAATAATAAATTTTAGTGACGTGACGGACGATTGATTCCTATACATATATTGATCGTTTTATATAGTGCAAACATTTCAGCCAATATATTAACATCATACATCAACTTTGGACAAGGATAGTGATGGGAAAATTGCTGGTAATATGTTATTACTATATCAACTGATTTGTTTTTTGGACCCTTCTTTCAAACCCTACACACATGTAAACTCATAGGTTGGTCATTTATTTATTTTAAACAATTAATTCTTGCGCTCGGCTTAATGAGCTTGCATGTACACTACCTGGACAAAAGTCACGCGCACCCTAAAACAAATAATTGCATAAAAACATACATAATAAATATACAAAAAAAATAATGTCGTTTTGTAACCTAGGTACTTATTAATCTATATACAAATTTTCATTTCTCTAACGTTTCTAATAAAACTTGGTCCGAATTTTTTTTCCCCAAATATTCCCACTTCAAAAAAAAATGAATTGAATAAAAACGTGCATTATAACCTCATCTGAGATTTTAGCATATGATAATAGGCATCTTAAATAACCATCTGTGATGTTATGAATGGTTTTGTAAACAAGCTTGATTTTTAATAAATATTTTTGAAAATTTAAAAAAAATTAAAAATGTTGGCTTTGACTGAAATTCAACGTAGCGAAATTATTTATTTATTTATTTATTTTTTTTAAGCATTAAGTTAAGTTTGGATGGAAGGTCTGTGTTCAGTTCGTTATGAAAAAACTTGTCAATATTGACCAAATAAATACAAATAAGGAAATTTTTTGCATAAAAAACTACAAACCTTTCTTATCTTTAGTATTAGTATTAGTTTTACAAATATATTCGAATTTTTAATTGAATTTATTTGGATAGAATTAAGATTGATTATTATTGGTATATATATTTTAAAAAGGAAAAAAATAAGAATATCGTTATTTATGATGATCTTATGCCGCGATCCATTTTATTTATTATATATAAACGTTATTTTTTATTTCTAAAAAAGCAATTAAAAAAAATCACTAGTCGCCGCAGATCTATAGTGATAGTAAAGTTCGAATTTACATAGTAAAAAAATTTTTATAATCAAATGTTTTACATTCTTGCTTGATACCTTCCCTCACTGTGTAGCAACCACCACCAAATCTAATAAATAGTTTTAATTGAATTAATTATTGGTACGTACATATATTTAAAAAGAGAATATCATTAATGATGATC